ACTCTGGGCATCTACCCACAGCAACACCACCATAAAAATATAAGACATTTAGATATGAGATTGTATTTTTTCTTTTCATCCAATTTCAGGAAAACGTATAAGGTTCTGAATCAATGCCTGGACCCATAAATAAGACAGATAAAGATTAAGAAATAAAGATGGTGAATTATGATACGAGTATCTCCCCAGGACAGAGTTCAACCACAAGTTGCCTGAAGTTGTTTTATTATTTGATTTGTCAATTGCTTACAAGGTAACAGGTATAAGAATAAACATAGTTATGAATACATGGATACATATAAGAAAAATAAAAGAAACAATAGGACAGGGACGGTAGACAGACAGCCCCCTACAGACCTCTTAGGAAAGGGGTGAGGTCAATAGTACACAGTCTAAGGTTAAAGTTTTGGGGGTTTGGGGAAGAAGTTCCTAGTGTGATTACAGCTTTTTGATTCTTGCCAAACTTTCTAACATTTATTTATTTAATATAAATTTTATTAAGTTTAATTATGAAATGAAAACACAGAAAAAAGTGGAGAAGTAAGAAAAAAGAGAAGAACAAAAAAAGGGAAAAAAGTAACGACTTCCAACTTTTTTCAGTGCAGTAAAGTAAAAAAGAATTACAACCTCAATCTTTTCCTTTACATTTTATAACATTTCAAGCTATTTCTATAATAACTGTAGAAAGCTAGCACCTATCCCGCTCCTAGAAGAATGAAATATTTTAGGAAATATTAAAAAAACAATATTATATTTCCCCAAATGGAGAAATATGCTCTTGGAGACAGAAAGTAGCCCCCCACTTCCTTAACAGCCCTCAGCAGATATCAGCAGTTAAGAGATAAAGAGCTTATTGAAAGAAGTTAAGTATCTAGGTAGGTCTATGTCAGCTTTGGAAGCCAAATTCCATGCTGCCACATAGCCTGAGAAAGTGGGAGGGGGTGATTTCAACTGAGTAGATCTAAGTAGACAAAATTCTTTTCTCAGTTCAAGGTTATTAAGTGTGGCGCAGCAGAGAAAAAGGATCTTACACTGGTCCATGTGATGTGATGATGGGAGAAAAGGAGATGGATTGTAGTTTGGGACATTGTGGGAAGTCTGGGAAACTTTTAGTTTCGAGATTCCACAGATGTTCCAGGTGCTACTCTAATAAAGGTACTTTTGACATTATTGTTCTGCATTGCTACATTAGCATTCTTGTAACCCCTCGTCCTGATTGGCCAGGACGCACGGCGCTCGGATTGGCTGAGTGAGCTGCAGCGATTGGCCCATTGCGAATCGCCTGCGATTGGAGGAAACCCATTGCGGGGGATTCAAAGCGGTGTCATTGGCCGCGGCTGGCAAGGCAAGTTCAATATAGCTGTCACCGATCCGAGGGAGAGCCGAGCCAATCTCAGAACTAAATAAAGAGCTTTAAAAGAGTCACTGAGTCTCGCGTCTCCTTCTTGCGATCGGCGAATATGACAATTATGCTTGTCTCGGAGTTACTGATTGGAATGGAGGTTTGCTGGAACGCTGACATTCTATTCATAAGTAAATAGCCTTCACTCGAGATCCAAACCAGGACAAAGCCATTAAGCCATAATAGGAATTGCCAACACCCTTTCAGAACACAAGTTTCTTCATTACATCATCTCAGCAGCAAACTTCAACTAAACCTGGGAGCTCAGACAACCTAGAAAGACAGCTTTGACTCCTATATAACCCCTACAACAGCCAATAGAATATATGTTCTTGCATAGGAACAGGAAGTTCAAGTGCAAAGCCCAAGAGAAGGTATAAAAACCCCTCACTCTCAACTCCACGTGGTCAGCATCACCAGAACTCGTGGTGGTATTCAACCAGTTCACACCGGTTTGGACGAACCAGTAGCAAGGATTTGGCATGGCTCACCAAACCGATAGTAAGTTCTGGCTGGCCATGCCCCTGACCAGCTCCCACAGTCACCACAGGCTCCCTTTCCCTGCCTGCCCAATGCTCACTCATCCCACCTGCCTGACACTCGCCCCTTAAGGTATTTCTTTTTTTCCCCTCCCGACAATCAGCTGTTCATACAATCAGCTGTGCCGGGATTCCCCTAGCTGTCTTACTGCTTCGCCTAGGAGGATTTCCTGAGGCCCAGGAAAGCAAAAAATGGAGGGAGGGGTGCAGCCCCCTCTCCATTTTTTGCCTTCCTGAGCCCCAGGGGAGCCTTCTGGAAGCAAAAATGCCACCCCAGGAAGCTCCCCTGAGGCCTAGAAGGCCCCAAAACGGAGCGATGGGGAGTGCTGCACACACCCTCTAGGCTCCATTTTTTTTCTTCCTGAGCCCCAGGGGAGCCTTCTGGGAGCAAAAATGCCCCCCTGGAGGCCTGCCTGAGGCCCAGAAGGTCCAAAAAATGGGTGGGAGGGTGGCTGCAAAAAAGCAAAAAAAAAAAAGAAGAAGAAGCCACACCCACCCACATGGCCATGCCCACCAAGCAACATCCACTAAGCCACACCCACAGAACCAGTAGTAAAAAGTTTTGAATCCCACCACTGACCAGAACCATGGGCTTGGTGGTTCTGCTTCGTCATTAAACCACCTTTCCAACCAGCCTTCACGTTTCCAGTGTCTTTCTCCCAGCTTGGAATTGAACCAGATGGATATTTTTTCCCACATAATAAAACCAGTCTAATTATCAAAATCTAAAATCAAAGTTTCATTTTCATGAGTTTTGAGAAAAAAAGTCCAGAAGCAGTTTCCAAATAGAAACAAAGATTATTCTTTTTGGTTAAAACAGTTTCCCCATTTCTGTGAACCATCCACTGTTCCAGAATTAATGTGTTTTTCCATCTTTGTGCATATAATAATCTCACTACTGTCAACTTATATGACAACAAAGCCTTAAATTTTCTTTCAAATTTTTGGTCCTTCAAATCTAAAAGAAAAACTTTTGGTTTCAATTTTATATTTATTTTAAGAATCTTCTGATTAAAGTAAAAATCTGGTCCCATTATTTCTTTACTTTATTGTAAGTCCACTAGAGATAATAAATGTAAAAAAAAGAATGCCCTAGGAATTGCAGTTGGATTTCCAACATGCAATTAAAACTCCTATATGTACAACTCCATTGTAACTTTATATCTTTTTGACAATGCCTATGAAACACTCTATTATAAATTATTATTTCAAATTATAATTCAATGCACATTTTAACCAATTAGTCCACATATTAAAACTTTCCAACATTTCTGATACTTAAAAAAACCTCTGGTTTTGCACACTAATCAATTATATCTGCTTATTTAACTGTTTTGCATTTTTTACCCTGCTAAATGGATTAGAGTTATGGATCAATGGTTGACAGTAACCTCTAATTTATTTATTCTTGCCATAATCAGAAGAAGGATGTTAGACCTGTTGATTATATCCATAGTGGGCAAAAGGTTTTAACGCTAGTACAGTGTTAAAGGCAATTTAAGATTGTGACTGAAGTCAGTATTATAGTTGTAAGTTATCATCATTTGACCAGACCTGATTTTTCATATTGTTTGTGGTGGTCATTAAGTGAGCACTGCGTTCATTAAGCAATTTAATTTCCTCCAATAAGCATGTTTTACTGGAAAGAGAAAGTAAATGTCAGAAATAGGCAAAAACCACAGACACATGACTGCAAGATGCTATAAAACAGCTATAAAGGTCAGCCAATTACCAGGCACCCAGCATGCAATCATGGGATGGGATGGGGGGGCAGCCATTGTAACTTCAAAAAAATAGGTTTAAAGTAGAATTAAGGGGGATCGTTGTAACTTTGAAGGGTCATTAAGTCATAGATTGAGGACTATCTGGTATATGGTGGAGGGAAAGAGTGGGGGAATATGCCATATTAAAATACTGTTATAAATGAAATCCCCATCCTCTGCCACCTATATAAAAATGCCTTTGAGAATCATATGGGATCCATGGATAATCTTAGAATATAAAATGATGGGTGATTCATCTGCCCTGAAAAAAAAAGTAACAGTAATCAATAGAATTGTGGAAGCGAATTTGACAGGGTATTTTAAATCATTATTTTGTTACTAGTTATAGATGATCAAGCAGAGCCCAAGGGTGGGGTCAAATACATCATCATTTTTTAGTGTTTCATCTCTATAAGAGACCTAAGTCCAACTCTACCCCTTGAAGTCCATTGATTCTTATCTGGTACCAATTTGCCTTGACCAATGGTAGTTCAGATTTTTGTGTATAGGTAGAATGAAATAAACCTGTAGTACCGGTAGTCCTTGACTTACGACCCTAATTGAGCCCCAAATTGATGTTGATGGCGAGATATTTGTTAAGTGAGTTTTGCCCCATTTTATAAGCCTTCTTGCCACAAGTTGTTAAGTGAAGGTTGTTAAGGTAGTAACATGGTTGTTAAGTGAATCTACTTTATCCATTGACTTTGCTTGTCAGAAAGTCGCAAAATTTGATCAGACAACCCTGGGGTACTGCAGCTGTCACAAATGTGAGACAGTTGTCAACACTCTGACACTCCCCCCCCATTGCTCCCCCACATTGCTTTTCTATTTACCTTTGTATTTTGTATTTTACAATACTTTATAAATCAATAAAAATGTAATTCTGTTAAGAAGTGCATTTCTTTTTTCAAGACGAAACAAATCCCTTGATTCAGGGATCAATTTTGAGCTTACATATTTTGTACAGTCCCAGGTTTGATGGATCCGAGAAATGAATCCAATCCCATCAACCTGAAAACTGCCAAAACAACCATCCTTGCCAAAAAATAATCTAATGTTCTTAGATCACATGCTTCACTTCTTTTTAATCCGTGAGATTTATTTCCCCAAAAGCAAAGGGGATGGCTGCTGCCTCTCTAAACAAGGTCCAATCAGGAGTGCTCTAGAAATTACAGAACAGCCTAAATCTTTCAGTTTGAAAAGAAGGCATGTTCCAACAAAGAAAAAAATGTAAGTTGGGAGAAAAACAAATCTAATCTGGGGCGTAGCTATCCTCTCTTTTGTCAGCAGACTATTCTGGATCAGCACTCCAAGAGACGGTGAAAGTTGGTGCTAAGTCAGGATCAGCCACGGAGAAGGTAAAATTGTAAGTACAATTTTATTCAAAATTAAATGGTAAACAGCTGATAAAGTCAAAATAGGATGAATTAATCTTATCTAAAAGACAGAGCAGCCAATCAGCAAAGAATAAAACAGTAAAATGTTTTCTCGAAATGCAGCAGGACCAGTTTTTCTTTTTCTGTGGGTGGCATTTTCTTCTTTCTTTTCTTGAAACAAAGTCCTCAAAGCTATGATGACTCACATTCTACCAGAACAAGAAGATCCTGCAATGAAATGCTGATGTGTATCCCAGCCTCCTAGAGTCATTCTGGATCTTCTAGCCAACGTTTTTATTTTCTGATGTTCAACATGCCATGATACTGAACCTTTTCAAATGCTAGAAGCATTTTATTTATTGATGGAGGCACAATTACAATACTACACTGTTGAAGTCTTTTGATTACACTACTATAAAGTTAAGGTTGCCCTAATTAACTATTTGAGGGCATAACTGAATTCTTTTGTCCAAGACAAAATTATTCACTTGGTTCATTCAGGGTAGTTAGAAAGTACAAGATTCTAAGTGACAGTAGTTTGAGTCTTGGAATAAGAAATGGCAGAAACTAAGTTTGAAGATATGAAAAAGTATAATGAATTGAAGTAGTGTAAAGTATATTTAGTTAGATGTCCTTTTCTCAGATTTCTTTTGTGTATTTCTTACTTTTTCAATTTAATGTAAATTTAATTCAAATGCTGAATAGTGTTAAGTTCTAAATTTGAACAAGAGTGTATGCAGAACCAAAGAGCCATTTCTGAAGTTAAAGAATTATATGTGATATGTGTCTTCATATTAAAGTAATTTAATATATAGCGTGAACTTCAGTAAAGCTTAATATGAAATGTAATTCCTTCCTGTGAGTTGTCCTGCAAATTTATGGAATTTTAAATTATAACTCTCTGGAAAATGGGAATAAGTAGGTAATCTGTGTTTTTTGAAACTTTAGGTCCAGCCAAAGAAAATGGCTTCACGTGGAGTATCTATGATGATTCTGTTCTTTATCTCCATCTCTGTTATCAATATTTCTCGGTCTCAGAACCCACAAGTGTTTCAAAGGAAACACATGACATTTCTGGATAACATAGACCACAACAGATGCAACAGTGAGATGAAAAATAGAAGGATTGCTTTGACTAGGAGTGGATGCAAACGGCTCAACACATTCATCCATGCCCCCGAGAAGCTTATTGATCAAACCTGTGTGTCAGGGAAACCATATGTGATCCAAAATCTAGAATATAAGAAGAGTAGCATGAAATTTCGTGTGACAAGTTGCAGACTTTCTCAGGAATATGGAAAAGATTGCAAGTACAAGGCAGAAGAGAGCAGATGGAAATACATTGTGGTTTCGTGCAACCAAAATGACCGTCCAGTCCATCTGGCAGGGATACTTACCTGGTAAAGCAAGAAGATGAACAAATTTGTTTCTCAAGTAGTCACTTTATTTTATGCATACAGTAATGCAATTTTTCAGTGGATTCTAGGGAGAAAAGCTTATTCTGTTGTGCCAATCTTTTTTTTTGTTAAAAAGACCTCTGATTTAGTTTTAGTGCCTTGAAAGAAAACTAGGTTGAGGTTTTCTTCTGAAATTCTACATATCAAACAGATGCTGAAAAATATAGGGCCAGGGCCTATTTTGCTGTCCTTTGCTACCTTATAAACAGCTGGGATGTAAAATTATCCTCAAACACTCTGAAGAACTTTAAGAATATAAGTCAACTGCATGGATGATTCTCTTTTCTAGTAATTACAAGACATTTGGGGAAATGAAATGTCTTCCCAGATAGTCTCCAAGTGCTGTTTTTGTTCCCTGTCTGAAACTAATTCTTGTGCAAAGCCAGAACCCAATTAGACATTTATAATTACCTACTAAATCAACCCACAGTTTCTACACTCAGACCCAAGTGCTGCACAATGGAGTGAGCTCCTATCTTTGCCCAGCTGGCCACCTAACAGTTTGACAGCATGCGAGTAGATAAATAGGTACCACTTTGGTGGGAAGGTAACAGTGTTCTGAGCACCTCGGCATATATATACTGGCCACATGACCATGAAAATCTCTTCAGAGAACTCTGGCTCCCTCGCTAAGAAACGAAGATGAGCACCTGCCCTTAAAGTCTTCTGTTGTGAATGCTTTTCCTAATTTGTAATATCTAGTCTATTAAAGCTATTGTTGCACTTTTCATATCATGTAGAAAACTGTTAAAACATAATTTCTAAGTATAACTGCTGCATAGTTTAACAATATAAATGTCTACAGGTCATTCTGTAAATAATTTTATGTCTTTTTCTGTTTCTGAGCATTTTTAAAAAAATTTAACATTTCCAACATATTTGATACAGTTCAAGAGACTGAATAGCCATAGTTGATGCCACTTCTGGAGAATTATATTTTTATATCCAATAGCTCTTAGAAAAGTTGAAAATCATTGGGAAGTTTTGTCCCTGCTAGATGTATATGCAGCTACAACCTGCCTGCCCTATACACAACCAATAAATTATTTTAAGCCCAAGGTTTAAGATATATTTTGCTCACATATAACATTAAATTATGACATTTAATTATTTGTACACCAGATTTATTCACCAATACACTAAGTCAGAGTCAAGCAAATCTCAACAATTTGACCAATTTGTGAATCTATCTGGTACTTCTTTCCAGCCAGCTCAAATACAGATCACAGAATTATAGAATTTTAATTCAGATAGGATTTCTGCCTTTCATAAGGCCCACTCAAACAGAAGCTTCAGATTATTTTTTGAAGTACACTTGGCAAACAGATTAAGAGAGCCAGTTTGGTGTAGGACTTATGACACTAGACTATAAACCAGGAGACTGTGTTCTAATTCTGCTTTAGGCCCAAAGCCACTTGGATGATCTTGGGCCAGTCACATTCTCTCTGCCCTAGGAATGAAGAAATGCCAAACAACTTTTGAAAAATAATAAGAATAACATTGCAGTGACTTCAGTAGTTGCCAGGAGTTAAGACTAACTTGAAGGCACATAAGCAAACAAACCTCAGATAAGCAATGGAAACAGGTTTAAAATATCATTGTTATAATTTATGTATTTTTATTTTTATTTATTTCATTTGATTTGTCAATCGCTTACAAGATAATAGGTATAAGTATATACATAGTTATGAATACATGGATACATATAAGAAAAATAAAAGAAACAATAGGACAGGGATGGTAGGCACATTGGTGCGCTTATGCACGCCCTCTACAGACCTCTTAGGAAAGGGGTGAGGTCAATAGTAGACAGCCTAAGGTTAAAGTTTTTGGGGTTTGGGGAAGAAACCACAGAGTCAGGTAGACTATTCCAGACACTGACCACTCTGTTGCTGAAGTTGTGTTTCATGCAATCAAGTTTGGTGCAGTTAACCTTGAGTTTGTATCTCTTGTGTGCTCTTGTGTTGTTATGATTGAAGCTGAAGTATTCATTGACAGGTAAGTCATTGCAATGTATGATTTTATATACCACACTTAGATCAGACTGAAGACAGCGTAATTCAAGGTTTTCTAGATCTAGAATTTCAAGTCTGGTGGTATAAGGTATTCTACAACGAGTAGAGGAGTGGAGAACTCTTCTCGTGAAATATTTCTGGACTTTCTCAACTGTGCTAATATCAGGCACGTAATGTGGGTTCCAGATTGATGAGCTGTGTTGGAGTATTGGTCTAGCAAATGTTTTGTATGTTCTAGTTAGTAGTGTTATATTACCAGACAAAAAGCTACGTAGGATTAGGTTAACAACTCTTAATGCCTTTTTGACTATGTAGTTACAGTGGGCTCAAGCACTTAGATCATTAGAGATGAGTATTCCAAGGTCCTTTACAGAGCTTAGATCATCAACAAGGTCTTGACTATTCAGCTTGTATTTTATTTTCTGATTTTTTTGCCAATATGTAAGACAGAGCATTTATTTGTTGAGATTTGAAGTTGCCATTTGTTTGACCATTCTGATACATAGTCAAGATCTTTCTGAAGGGTAGCAGTGTTGTCTGTGGTATTGAACAGCTTTACATCATCTGTGAAGAGAACTCAGTTGCTCTTTATGTGATCACAGTGGTCATTTATGTAGAGTATGAAGAGAGTTGGTCCTAGAACACTGCCTTGGGGGACACCACTATTGAGAGGTACAGAATTTGATAGGACACTCCCAATTTTGACCATTTGTTGTCTGTTTGACAGGAATGCTTCTATCCAGTTATGCAGGTGTCCAGAGATACCATAAGATTTTAGTTTTAGGAGTACTTTGTTGTCTACCACTGAATCAAAGGCTTTACAGAAGTCTATGTAGATTGTGTCTATTGTTTTGCCCTGATCGAGTTGTGTAATCCATGTTTTTGCAGTGTAAGAGTTGCAGATTACAGGATAGTTTTTTTCTGAAACCAAATTGTTTATTAGAGAGTAGGTTGTTTGTCTCTAAGTGGAGGATAATGGATTGGTTAATAATTGATTCCATGACTTTACAGGTGATGCAGCATAAGGAAATTGTTCTGTAATTTTCAACTAGCCTGGGGTCTCTCTTTTTGAAGATGGGGATGACTGTGGCTTGTGACTATAGTTTTGGCAAGGAGCTGGTTCTGAAAGATTTTTCAAAGATTATACTTAGAGGTTCAACTATGGCAGTGGGTAGCTTTTTTAAGAAGTAGGCTCATATTCCATCCGGTCCAAAAAATAGAGATAGTTTTAGATTGCACAGTGCTTTTTCAACAATGTCTTCTGTAAAATCGATATGTATTAGATCATTGTAGTTGTCTGTGGTTTGGCTAGGAAATACTGGGCATGATCCACTGCTGTTTACAAATACAGAGACAAAGAATGTGTTAAAGATGTTGGCTTTAATGGTGTCATCGTTGCAGTCTTTACCATTAAATCCTTTCAGGGGTGGGATGGATCTTGAGTCTTTTAGTTTGTTTACAAAATTGTAAAAAGCACGGGTGGAATTGGTGCGTAGGTTTTCCTCTTGTTTGATGTGATAATTGATACATTCAGTCTTTATCTGAATTTATTTTTATCTATAATCTCAAAGCAATATATGGGAATATAAGCAGTTGTGCCAAGCATGTGGCCTAATTTCCATCTAACCAACTCTGGATGTAGTGGATGAACACTTTAACAGAAGAGAGCCAGAACATCTCACCCCAATCTGGGAAATAAAAATCCAAAATCCCAGAAAAGGCAATAATAAAACCATTTTCATATTGGTGTCATGACAAAAAGAGGCTACAGTTAACAAACTTTATAAGTCACTACATATTATTAGTTTCCATCCATTGCTTCCTGTCCTGCTTTGGAGAATAGCTCGACTTCCTCTTCTTCGTGGCAGAACAAACTGTTGTAAATACGGCACCCCCCTTCACAGATTGAACACAGCAGAAATGGGCAGGACCACTGCAGCCGCCCTATCAGTGCTTCGGAGCCTTAGTTGGCTCCGCCTCCTTTCCGCAGCGGTTGTTATTTGAAAGCACGTTTCAGGGCTGGGGGTTATCCACAGTGTTCGGTTACCACAGCAACGGAGAACGACTTTGCTTTTCGGGACAGGACAGTAGGAGAATATTTGGGCCTCACCTGCCCAAGCGGGAAGGCGGGACTTCCTGTCTGCTAGAGTTCTTAACTATATTAATCGTGACCTAACCCGGAAGCAGAATATGGGGACGCTTAGTAACCGGGACGATTTGGAAGTCGGGTGTGTGTAAGGTGAAGGCTGGAAAGCATGGAAAGGTTTCCCGTGGCAACTTGCCTCACGATTTTGCTTTCGTTGCTGGTCTCCGGGCCGGGCCTGCTGCAGCGGAGCAGGGGTAACGGCCTGCCCGACGACTTCCTGTCGGCGTTTTTGCTGCGGCCGGCGGCGGTGCAGGAAGGGCAGGGTGAGCTCGAGGGATGATCCTCCTTTCCTTCCCCCCCGCCCCCGGTGGAGCGAGGGGGAGAATGAACGCCAAACGAGATGGATCCTCCATGGGAAGGAGCAGGCTACCATAGCACTTATGATTAAAGTTGACTTGAAGGCTCTGTTCTTCGTGGATGACAGCTAGCTGGTTTTTGTTGGAAAGGTCTTAAGGAGGTCCTGGGGCGGTTACATTCAGTCATTCTGTTGTTTTTCAGCGTTTATTTAAGTTAAGCATTTAAACTGCCCAGAGTTACCTTGAGGTAAGATGGGTCAGCCTATTAATTTTTATAAATAAATAATAATAAAAATTTTTTTAGCCAAGACTGATTTCTTTAAGGCTTCCATGGAAGACAGACAGTCTGGCCCTTTCTCCTAACCTCTGCTAGACCATCCTCATAGTTAATTTCCATAGTCTTTTCTTGCTTTTTCCTGAGGGTGAATACAATTCACTTAGGCCGCTTCCTTCCTGAGGAACTTTTAAAAGCAGAGTTCTTTCTCTGTTACATTTTGAGTTTAGGCTTCTTGATGATTGGCAAAGCAGGAGCGAATGGAAGGTAGGTCTGGATTATTTGCAGGCAATATGTAAAATGTTAGGCTCCCAATATTTTGAAATAGGACA